TTTTTTTTTACTGGGGATTGAACTTGGGACATTGGGCTTTCGAGGCAGGCAGTGGAACCACTGAGCTAAATCCCCAGCCCTCCCAGCCATTTTTGAGACAAGGTCTTACTAAATTGCCCAGGCTGGGCTTGAATTTATGATCTTTCTATCTCAGCTTCCCAAGTGGTGGGATTACAGCTGTATGCCACCATGCTGAGCTGGATAAACCTTTTCATAGGCTTTTCTCATGATCCTGCTTTTTCTAGTTCCGCCTCATTATCTGGTACCATTCTTGTTCTTTCTTATTCTAATATGAGTAAGCTAATAGTCAAGATTAGAGAATATATTTCAATCCTCTTGAATTGTGACTTATCTAAATGTATAAAACTCACATGACAGACTTTCCTTTATATGAAAAGAGATTATACATATATTCTTATAAACAACTTTAATCCCTAGTATAATAAAATCTGACCAAAAAAAACCAAGTAATAGAGATTTACATTATTTCTTTAAGCCCTTTTCTTTCTTCTTCTTTTTTTTTGGTACTGGGGGTCGAACTCAGGATCTCATGCTTGCCAAGCAGGAGTGATGCCACTGAGCTACATCCCTGGCCTAACCTCTTTTCTTACATTTGTCTTTATTTAGGAAAGTTGTAATTATACCTTAATTGAACTAGTAAATGAGAAATCCAAACTTCTGAATTCATATTTTGAAATACAGTTACTTTTCTGGCCTTATTTTTCTCCCAAAGACAGGGTAAACACCTACCTATTATATGGAAGACAGTCAGAATCAAGAAAGATTATCTGCTTAAATCTTTTTTTGTTTTTTTAAATAGGATAGCAGGAATTGAACCTTGCCCTGAACTAAAACTGCACGTAGGCTGGGCTCAAACCTGCTCCTCCTGCCTCAGCCTCCCACACTGCTGGGGTTACAGTTGTGTGCTATCACACCTGGCTGTCTATCTGCTTAAATCTTGAACAGAAATATGATGCCTAAAGTAAATTAGGCCCTTGCCAAAAAGAAGTTTGAGCCATTATATTGTTCATTTACTTATTTTTTGTTAATTTATTAACTTGATTTAATTTCCAGGAAAATACAGTGAAGACATTTCTGTAATCTACTAGTGTGTGAAGCAGTGATCATCTAGTACCAAATCTGAATACCTTCTTTTTAGCACCCACCTTTTAGACAAGTCAGACTTACTGGATCCAATTAGAAAACTAAGAGATTTAGAGTAGAACTCACAAATCTTTGTCAGCTCTAAAATAAAAATTCTAAAGCTGGAAATGATGGGGCATACCTGTAATCTCAGCACTAATTTGTGATTAAGTTCTTAATTGCTTTTTCTCTATAAAAAGAGTAACTACAAAATGGCCTTGGGATAATGTAAATTATTTTTTAAAAGTCAAAATAATTATATGCTAACAAAACAATTTTGAGGTGTTTCTTTTCTTTCTTTCTTTTTTTTTTTGGTACCAGGGATTGAACTCAGGACCTTGTGCTTCTGAGGCAAGCAGAGGAACCACTGAGCTAAATCCCTGGCCATCTTTTCTTTTCTGAGACAAGATCTCGCTATTTAGGTCAGGCCGGCCTTGAACTCACTATGTAGCCCAGGCTGGCTTCAAACTTGTAGCAATCCTCTTGCCTCAGCCTCCTGAGTGCTAGGATTACAGGCGTACACCACCACACCTGGCTGTAAAATTCTTACTGATACTGTTTAGGAATTCACTTAACACATTTAAAAAATAGGCTGTAAGAACGAGATGTTCCTTTTGAAATATAAACAACATATCCTAAGTAAGAAACACTGATTATTCAAAATAACAGGTAAAATATACTGCTTCAAACTTTGTTTCACTTATACTTGAAATTTGTACATGTTTGCCAATTAATGGAGTTTAATTTTCTCTCATTCCTAGTCACCTGACCAAACTCTTTTTTTTCCTTTTTCTTTTTTTGGTACCGGGGATCTAACTCAGGACCTTGTGCTTGCCAGGCAGGCGCTGGAACCACTGAGCTAAATCCCCAGCCCTGTCTTTTTTTTTTTCAATAGTTCCAGGAACTTATTCAGATTTTTTAAGCATGTGGTATTTGAGTGACAACTAAAGTTCTCTACTCTTTTTTTTTCCTACTCTTTCTACAGAGCACGTCCTTTGCAACCTGATCACAGTGATGATGAAAAAGAATAAACCTTCTTACTCATCTTTGAATAATGTCTCCTGTTTACTCTGCTTTTCTAGGATCTAAATTTGTACAGACGTGTTTGTTCCATTAGCTTTGTTGAATAGGTATTTAATTTAAAACATGAGGCTAAAATTTAGTTATTCCGAAGCAAGCAGATATGATTGGAGAATTTGTAAAAATTATGGTTATTTAGCTTAATACTGTATTCAAAATAATGTTTCTTTTATCTGCTACTAAGCTTTTTGTTCTTATTAAAACAAATCATTGTGTGATGTTCTAATTAATAATCTTGTGTATTTGATATTTGCTTAGATCTTTGTATTGATACCATTTTTATTGGCATTGGCATCTGATTTGGAATAGTGCCATATTTTTATGACTTCCATTTGCTTTAAAAAGCAGAGTTAGACTTTTGCTCATTAAAAATCATCAGTATTAATTAAACTTAATCTTTATCATTCTTCATTAAGGAAGCCAAAGGTGTAATGTTGAAAAAATTTGAACAGGTATCTTCTTCCTTTCAGATAAAGTTAAGGACAGTTTGGTCTTGAGGGTTTAAACAAGTGATAATCAAAACTTAAGAACAAAGCTGGGTGTGATGGCACACACCTGTGATCACAGCTATTGTGGAGGCTGAAGCAGAAGGACGATAAATTCCAGCCCAGCCTGGGCAACTTACCAAGAACTGGTGTCAAAATTTAAAAAAAAAAGAAGAATAAGAGCTGGGCTTGTTCTGTCATAGAGCGTTTGCCCTGCATGTGTCATGTCAGGCTCTGGGTCCAGTCCTCAGTGGGGTGAGCAAACAAACCGAAAAGTTAAAAATATTAGCATAGAACCAGAAAGAAAGATTTGATGGAGTACATAAAAAGAGAAATTTTCCTTGGATATATATTTGACTCCATTTCATAAAACATTACCTTTTGAGCTTATACTTTTAAAGTTGGAAATAAATAAAACATGATAAGCAAATCATGCCATAAGGCCAGAGCTATATCTGAAATACTTGGAGTTCCCACTACATTTCTCAAGATAGCCAGCAGTAAAATTGAAAAAGTGTGTGTAATATTACTTGTTAACTGATGTCTTGCTTCCTTATAACACTTTTTGCTTAGTGTCAGGGTGTCACTTTTCAAAATAACCGTGTTTAGGCCAGGGATTTAGCTCAGTGGTTTCACCGCCTGCTGCGCAAGCGCAAGGACCCAAGTTAGATCCTCGGTACCAAAAGAAAAAAAACAAAGAACAAAATAACTGTGTTTTGATAGGCATGTTTTTCTGAAATTTGCTTGAAATAAATGCTTATTTTTACAATACACTTTCTATCCATTTGTGTGGTTCTTATGACTCTGTCCTATTACATGGTTATATTCTATTTCTTCCAAACAGATTGTTTTCACTCCCCTTCTTTTTCACTCTCCTTTTTCTTTTCGTGGTGCTGAGGATTGAACCCAAGGCCTTGGGCATGTTAGGAAAGTGCTCTACCACTGACCAAGACCAACATCCCCAGTCCTCCCTTCTATTCTTAGTTCTATCCTTGAAATAACAGAACAAGTTAGTCCTTCCACACAATGTCCTTCAATTATTTAAGGATAATTGTTACATCTTTAGCCTTTTCTAAGGCTTAACATTCTATTGTTAATGTCACTTATCGCCTAAGTGACTTATTCTGAATCCCTTGGTATAAGGGAGTATGTATTTTGCATTGTACAGAATATTGTTTGGGCATATAAATGGTAAATTTAGCTAAATTCCTTTTTCCTTTTTATCTGTGGTGAGTATTGAACCTAGGGGCTGATGCATGCTAAGCAAGTGCTTTATCACTGACCTACACTCCTTCACTTTTTTATATGTATTTTTTAAGGTTAGGAGAGTTTTTATTGGAAATAATATGAAGAAAAATAGCTCCTGGAATTCTAGAAGGGATCCTGAACAGGTGACCCTACAGTGGAACCTCAAGTTAAGACTGGTCTGATATGAACAACTTGGGTTATGACTGGAATTTTAGTTTTAAGTTACAAACAAAGTCTTGAGTTATGACCCGAATGCTGGCCACTTGTGCTTCCAGATGGTCTCAGATACAGATTTAACCCTTAAAGAGTTCTGGAAGGAACATAAGATGAAGGTACTGTACTGATTTATGAAGGGTATTTGAGATCAGTCTAGATCTGAGACAGCATAGTTATACAGTTCATATTAAGAATACAAATTCTAGGGCTGGGGATTTAGCTCGGTTCCAGCGCCTGCCTTGAAAGTGCAAGGTCCCGAGTTTAGTCCCCGGTACCAAAAAAAAAAGAATACAAATTCTTAAGGGCTGGGGATTTGGCTCAGTGGCACCGCGCCGCGCCTGCATTGCAAGCACAAGGTCCTGAGTTTGATTCCCTGGTACTGCAAAAAAAACCCAACCAACCAAGCAAAAAAACAAATTCTTCTAATACCGATTACAAAATCCTAAAAGTGTAGTTAAACTCACATACCTAGTTTTAGGTGTAAGCTGTGCTAGCCATCTGTCGAACTCTCCAATGATTATGTAGAAAATGACTGAAATTACAGAGGTCACATGACCATTCTAGAGTCTAGCCATTCATTTACCTATACAAAAGTGACTGAAGCCAGGCATGGTGGTGCATGCCTGCAATTCTAGCATTCTGTGGGGCTGAGCATTACAAGTTTGTGTCCAGCCTGGGCAACTTAGTGACTTAGCAATATCCTGTCTCAAAATCAAAAAATAAAAAAGTTTGGGGATGTAGCTCAGTGCAGAGAGGCTTTGGGTTCAATCCTCAGTAACATATGCACACATGCACACACACAGAGTGACTGAATATTTTAAAAAGCTGTACAGAGGATGAAAGCATTCTGCTTATAGATTTTCCTCAGGCCATGGCTAAAATTAGTGAAGTATAAGAATTTGCATTTTCATATTAGCTTAAACTATCATGCTTAATTGTTTAATTTTACTCATTAAGATATTACTTTAAGAACACATTTACCATAATCATGTTTTAATTTTAATATATATTTAAGTCTATGATTGCTTTAGATAAGTTGTTGCTCATTGGGATCATACTTTTATCTACTTTTTTTTTTTTGGTACCGGATCGAACTCGGGTCCTTAGCTTGCGAGGCAGGTGCCAGAACCACTGAGCTAAATCCCCAGCCTTTCTACTTTTCTAATATAAAGGTTTTTAAGAATTACTTATACCTGTTAGCAGTTGAAATACCATGGTAATAGGTTTATCATTTGACACTTTCAGCCAAGTTTTTTGTTTATTTTGGTAAGGGAGAAAGAACCAAGGGCCAGGCTGGGGATTTAGCTCAGTGGTGCGGGTCCTGCCTCATAAGCACAAGGTCCTGAGTTTGATCCCCAGTACAACAACAAAAAAGAACCAAGGGCCTTGTGCATGAAGCACTCTACCACTGAACTACATCCTCAGCTCTCAGTAAGGTTAAGAAAAATTGATTACCAGATGCATGCAGATTTCATGTGAATTGTGTGTACTTACTCCCTCGTGTATACATGTTGATGGCAGGAATAGAAATGTTTTAAATTTACTTAACAACCTGACACATTTGAGTGATTTCCTAAAGTTTTGCTAAGTTGACTGCCTAGGGTTAATCAATTAAATCCAGGAAACCAGTAGACTTGGTGTTTCTTTTAAGTTACTGAAGCCCATTTCCTATCTGTCCTAGCTGAGGTGGTCAACTGTCCAGTATTGGCGACTAAGAGATTGTTATGATCAATAAAATTGGGACCTGCAGTTGCAAGTATATTCCCGAGTAGAGAAAACAAATTCAGAAGCTACATTTAAACTTTAATGCTTTTAAGCAGACTTATTTAAGTTAGGAAAGCCAAGTAAAGATTTTTATTTTTCTCTGAATTTTTTTTTCTACCGGGGATCGAACTCGGGATCTTGAGGTTTTGAAGCAGGCGTCAGAACTACTGAGCTAAATCCCCACCCTTTCCCTGAATTTTTAATTACCTTTTTTTTTTTTTGGTACCGGGGATCGAACTCAGGACCTTGCGCACTTGAGAGTCAGGCGCCGGAACCACTGAGCTAAATCCCCGGCCCGAATTTTCAATTACTTTAATGACATACGTCATTTACTAAAGGAGATTATTTTGCTGGGGTTTACTCCAACCAATAGTTTTCCCGATATTTTCAACCCCTAAATGATCCTGACAGAATGAATGACGTTTCTTATTGACATCTGTCCTCAGTTTAAGTACTAAGGTTTATTCTTTGTGAAGGATTTGACGTCTTTCTCCTTCCAAAGTTTGATTACGAGCTTTCTTTGGTCTTTTTCTTTGCTTTCTTTTTTCAGGATTAAATCCTAGTCAATTTACATCGAATCTTTTTAGCCTCTTCCATTTAGCTAGGTTATTTCCAGACCATACACAAACACACAATCCTTACAAAAGATGACTGAAGACAAACCTTTTTCTCACCATTCGGCTTCAGGGGCTGTCACAGGAGAATGCAGCGCATGGAAAAGCTTTTAAAAATCTAGATGAAACACAACAGGAAATCCACAAGAGGGAGATGCTTGCTTAACTGCTAGAAAGTAACTCCCGCGTGGGATCAGCGAGGAGCTTTAGGAGCAGCCACAGGGTTGGCCTTGGCCTCAGAGCGGAAAGGAGCAGGTGTATGTCGTTGGTGGGGGTTGAGGTAGACTAGTTGAAGAGAAAAGCGACATGGGCTTCATGCCCCTAGCAGCGAAGCCCTTCCTCTGACTAAGACCGTGAGCTGAAGATAAGAGGGTGTTACGAAGACGCTCCCAGCCTATCTCTTGGTAGTGCCAGAAGAAATGGGTGTGGGTGTCTTTCAAGGCACTTCCGCTTAGCAACCCCACGCCGTTGCTAAGGAGGGGCGGCAGCGGGGATGACCCGGAACTGGTGGTGTCAATGTTTCGGTGGCCACTGAAGTTTGTCCTATCAGGAGCGCCAGAGTACATTGCGGGCTCCAGGCTCTGGGCGGGGCCAGCGCTAATGATTCCGGTTCGCTCCTGCCGCCCCTCGGCTCCTCGTCTCCCCCTCCCCTCCGCCTCCACTCCTCCCTCCCGCTCTTGGGAAAGAGAAGCGGCGGCTGTGGGTGGTTAGAGAAGCACTCGGCGCCTCAGGGACGGGAAAGCGCCCGCTCCATTTGAGCCCGGGAGCCCAGCCGATCCAGGTACTTGCGCTGGGTTCGCCGGGGTCCGGGAGCCTCGAGTCTGACGGGGTGTGTGTGGGTTTGAGAGGGCTGCTGGGCGCCCCTTTCCTGGGTCCGGGCGGAGGCGCCGGGATCCCGGGTGGGGCTCAGGCCGGCTAGTGTGTGTGTGGAGGCTGTGGGGGCGGAATGCGTGTGCTGGGGGACACCCGGCAGAGAGTTTCAGGGGGTTGGTGGGAGGCGGGAGGAGGCGGTGCCCCTCGGAGGCAGAAGACTGCGGCCGGTGGAGACCCGGAGTTTGCCACCTGGAGGACTCGCTCCGAAAGGGGAGCATCCTCCTGGGCCAGAAGGAGGGCATGGACTCGGCGGGTGGCTTCGGGCCGCCCCAGGCTTCCAGCGCCTGCTTTCCCGGCCACCCTGCTGGAACAGAGCCGGGCTGCGACTGTGGTGGGGGTTCCGAGTCGTCGGGGCACCGCGGAGCCGCCCTTGGCAAAGCGAGGGCAGCAGAGTGGGTGGTGAGACCTCTCCACCCAACTTCCGTGCGCTTCCCCCGCTTCTTCCTTTACTGCCCCCTCGCCCCGGCGTCCCGTAGGAGCAGGGTCCCCGAAGTGGGCCAGAATCAGCATGAAAGAGGCTGGAACTAGGCTTGTGGCCGCTAAATGATACTTGAGATATTTGGAAAGTATCGGAATGGTATAACCAACCCAAGTCTCCCAGCCCGATGTATATATCTGGTTAAATTTTCTTAGATTAGTACAATTCTGAGAAGTATGTAACTGTAGTCAAGCGTAGCCTCGTATAGTAGATATGTGCTAAAAAAGAAGAAAGACAAAAAACCGGCTGGAAAAACCATAGCTATAGAGGTCTAGGTGAGACATGTTGAGACAAGCCTTTTCTGTTATTATTATTAATTGCCATTATTATTTGACTTTGCAGTAAACCTGCCCTCGTTTAAATGAAGCAAAAAAATCCTTTTATGTTTCAGTCAATTGAGTGAATTGTAGGTAGTGTAGTGATATATGTCTCAGAATAGATTCGCGAACGTTAGGAGAGACAAGATTCTCTGCTGTTGAGCTCTCTTAATCTTTTAAGGAGATAATTGTGGTCAAGTGGAAGTATTGGCTTTCAGGTAGATAAATCTGGGATTGAACCCAAACTGTGGCACATTTGCTAGTTGTTCACCTGGAGCGAGTCATGAAACTAATGAGAGCTTAAATTTCTTCATAAATCGTGTTAACATTTTTTATCTGTTTTATAAAGGGGTAATGTATTTAAATATCACCACCCCCCCCCCAGTGCTAAAGATTGAACTCAGGACCCAGCACATGCTATGCAAGTGTTCCGCCTCTGAGCTACAGTTATATTCTCAGCTCCAATAACTTATTTTATTTTATTTATTTTTTGGTACCGGGGATCGAACTCGGGTCCTTGCGCTTGCGCAGCAGGCGACGAAACCACTGAGCTAAATCCCCGACCCCCAATAACTTATTTTAAACTGAAGTATCTTTGAATTGCAATGAATTATTGTCAGTCATACAGAATCAGGGTAGCCCGGTTTAGTGGAATGAGGTTTTTGTTTCGTTTTATTTTGTGAGGCAGGGTCAGGTGTGCACCACCACCACAGTCTGTTTTTGTTTTTTGACAGGGTCTTGCTATGTAGTTCAGGCTGGCCTTGAACTCACTGTATATAGCCCAGGCTGGCCTTGGACTTGCCTTGATCCTCCTGCCTCAGTCTCCTGAGTGCTAGGATTATTGGCATGTGTTACCACGCCCAGTTTGGAATGAGGTTTGAAATGAAGAAACTAGATGATAATATTTCAAAGCGTATGTATACAAAAGGACTCGCGGTGCCTTCTGAAAATAAGTATTTTTCTTGTGTGTTGCTGGGGATTGAGCCCAGGGCCTCCTACGTGCTAAATATGTATAGTTCCTATATTAAGTATATATATATATATATATATATTAAGTAGCATAAAATTTCATTATCAGTAGTTTCTTAAAACTTGTTATTATAAGATAGGGTATGTTTTGATTTTTGAAATGACCAAGGTATAGTCCCTAGTTTTGCTCAAATACATTATAATACTGTATACAGCATGGATTGATGTTAAAAAAATGTAAAAGGTATTGTGTATAATTTTTCGTGCTGGGGATAGAATCCAGGACCTAGCATATGTTAAGACAAGTGATTTACACTGAACTACATCTCTAGTCCTGTGTAAATCTTAGTTAATATCACGTTTCTTTCCCTTCTTGGGGGGGGCTGGCCTTGAACTCACTAGCCAGAATTGGCTTCAAACTCATGGTGATCCTACTGCCTCAGCCTCCTGAGTGCTGAGATTACAGGCGTGTGCCACCACGCCTGGCTCTTTATAGAGAATTACAACATAGGAAGTAGTTCTCATTTTAAGATTACAATCTGGGCCGGGGTTGTAGCTTAGTGGTAGAGCTCTTCCCTAACATGTATGAGGCTCTGGGTTCCATCCCCAGCACTGCAAAAATGTAAAAAAGATTAAAATGAACATCAGTAGCCTGATTCGTCTATATATTGGTCAAACTTAATTCTTATATGTAATCTGCAAAATATATAAAAATGGAATAAAGTTCTGCCTTGAAATCGTTTACTATCAGAACATAGAAAAAAACCCAAAAAATATGAAATCTTTATATTCAGTTTGCAGATTGATTGATTGATTACCAGGTCTTGCCACGTACAATAGTAGTTCAGGCTGGCCTTGAACTCACTGTGTAGCCTAGGCTGACCTCAAACTTGCAATGCTTCTCCTGCCTCAGCCTATGGAGTGCTGGGATTACAGGTGTGTGCCACCATGCCTGGCTACTTTGCAGATTTAATACTTTGAACTAACATTGGTTTTTTTGGTACCAGGGATAGAACTTGCGACCTTGTGCTTGCGAGGCAGGCGCTGGAACCACTGAGCTAACATTGTTTTTTAATTTAATTTATAGTTAGTAGTTTTGTTTTGTTTTGCTTTTTTGTTTTGGTACGATACTGGGAATTGAACTCAGGGCCTCACACTTGCCAGGCAGGCACTGTAAAACTGAGCTGCATCCCTGGCCTAGTAGTTTTTAAATGTACTCTATACTGAGAAAACTCTGAGGGAGTATAAATAACTTGCTTTTTGTTCATAACTTGTTTTAATAATACTTTTTTTTCACCACTATTGAGGACTGAACCCAGGAGCCATTGAGCTACATCTGCAGCCCTTTTTATTTTTTATCTTTGAGACAAGGGCTCACTAAATTGCCCAGGTGGAACTCATTTGTGATCTTCCAGCCTCAGCCTCTGGAGTAGTTGAGTTTATAAGTGTATGCCATCAGAACTGGTTTCCTTTTTGTTTTTCCAGAGACAAGGTCTTGCTATATAAGTTCATCCTGGCCTTGAGCTCACTGTGTATCACAGACTGGCCTTGAGCTAGCACTGATCTCTCCTGCATCAGTTTCCCAAGTGCTGGGATTATAGGCATGCATCACTATGCCCAGCCGTTTTGTGTTTGTTGTTTTGCCTGTGGAACTGAGGATTGAATCTAGGGCCTTCATACTGAGCTATATCACCAGCCCTTAAAAATAATTTTTTAAAAAATCAGAGTCTTGGTAAGTTATTAAGTTGCCCAGATTGGGCTCAAACTTTCAGTCTTCCTGCCTCAGCCTCCCAGAGAGCTGCGATTACAGGTCTGTGCCACCATGTCCAACTTCAACTTTTTAAATGGCTCTTCTGAGAATGTAAAGTCTAGTATATAGGCATATCTAAGCCTTTTTTTTTCCCCCGGTTGGGTTTTTTGCTATGTATCCTGGCCTCTAACTTGTGGTGATCTTCCTGCCTCAGCCTTCTAAATTCTGGGATTATCAGTGTGTCCCACTGTTGTGTTTTCTTGGATCATTATTTTTCATCATCTCATGAACCTTTTTTTTTCCCTTTGGTACCAGGGATTGAACTCAGGACCTTGTATTTTCGAGCAGGCGCAGCGCCACTGAGCTAAATCCCTGGCCCTCATCTCATGAATCTTAAAGTTGAGGTCCTGTTGTCTTGCTTTGATAAAGCTATCATAAGTGGCATCCTCTAATCTCATAAAACTTTAGCAATCTATTTTAATGTAAGAGGATATTAGCCGTTAGAGCAAAATATTTTATCTAAATTGTATTCAATGAATAGAGACTATTAGAGGTGTACTCTTTGGAATGACTTCTTCCACTCAAATTATGTGGCTGTTCCAAGGACTTCTGCAGTTGTCTGTTAGGGAATTTGCTTGGCAGGAAATCTAAATATGACTAAACCTTATTTTAGTATCTATCTCGTGGCTGATCTCAATAAATTTTAGGAACTGTTAGGAAGATACACACCTCATGTACTAGAATCATATGATGAACAAGTACAGTACAGTTAATTTTTTTGGTGGTGCCAAATTAAGAGTGAAGCAGAGTTCCTGTGGTGACATTAAAAATGTCCAGATCTGCTTTCTCTTTTATTCAAACCAAGTGAGTATTCTTTCAGAGCTTGTTTCTATTTTATATTAACTTTATGTGTACCAATACTCCACCATGAATGTATTTATTGTGTTTTGCAAACATACACTAATTTTAAAAAGGGGGAAGTATAACAATACCACAGAGTGGCCCTGTAATCCCAACTGTTTGGGAGACTGGGGCTAGTTCAAGGTCAGCCTGGGCAAGTCAGCAAGATAAAAAGAGCTGGGATGTAGCTTAGTGATAGAGTACCCCTGGGTTATGCTTTGAATCTCCAATAAGGTTACATAATCCTTGTATGAAGAAAAAAATGATACAACTATAATATTACTAATTTTAATAGAAACCGTGTCAATGGTCTACATAAGTAGAAGTAGATTTTCTTGAAAACCTGAATTTGTGGAATAATAGTTTTTCTGTATTTAACTTCTAATTTGTCTCTGCTCATTTCTGCTTAATATAGAACCTTTAATAAGCTGAGATTTGAAAAGAAAGAATTTACTTCAGAATTACCATTTTAAGTTTTATAGATTACTTGTTTA